TCCAACAAACCCTTTGCAGTTTTTGAAGTTCTCATAAAAGATAAATAGGAACGAGGCATACATCCCATTACTGATAAACATTCATCGAGAGGCATAAGCACAAATCCATCTTACTAACCACGTGTCAGAAAAGTTTGTTATCAAAAAGGGAGACCCCATATCACCCAAACTATTCGCAGCAGCAATCGAAGAAATGTTTAAAACGGTGTCGCTAAGTAAAGAAATGCCAACAGAAAGAAAACACCTGAAAGATCTGTGATTCACCGATTATTTGACGCTTTGTACTGAAAATGAACAACAAAAGAAAATTAACCTCAACATCATAAACAACGAGAGCAAAATATGATCAAAACACAATTATAAGACCAAATTCATGACAAGCTACACCAGCAACAAAACTGTTGATATAGAAAAAAAAAAACGGTCATTGAAAAGGTTACAGAATATAATTACTTAGGTCGAAAATAAGTATGGAGGGGAGAATAAAATTGAGGTGAACAGAAAGATAAATGCGGTTTGGGTTTGCTTTGATTGATATATATATATTCATGCTATGAAAAATAGTGTTTTATATAAATTATGTAGATTTCAACTCTAAGTGACCATTACTGCGTCGATGTGCTTCTCTTTACTCGAACAAACAAATAAACAAACAAATAAACAAAACAAATTATTGTGTTGGGTCCACAGTCGTTGTTATCTAGTTTTTAGCTGAAACAAGAGTACGAGTGTAAGTAACCCCTTCTGCTTAACCCTATCCGCACGTCGTGTTTTACTATCGTATCCATACGACGTGGGGAACTATGTGCCACACTTTTCAAAGAGGAAATTTACTCGTTAATCCCATCCGTACGCTTTGCTTAGCTGTCTGTCAAAATTATTTTTTGAGAAATACTGAAAGTTTCAAAGAGATCTTCGCACTAGAAGTATTCTAAAATGTGAAGAATACAACCCCGGGGGCACAAAATGACCCCAGAGCATACGGATAGGGTTAGAAGTTTCATACTTTGTTGTTAACACACGCGCGCAAACACATACATACGTGAGAGCAAACATACCTTTATACATTCACATACTCACGTACATAGACACGACCACACCATGTGCACGCCAGCATGTATTCATGAGGACACACACATTTGCACACACGTCTACACTCACATACACACATGCATACACACCTTACTGCAATTAATACACACTAAAACACACACACACACACACACACACACACACACACACACACACACACACACACACAGAGAGAGAGAGAGAGAGAGAGAGAGAGA